GCTTCATACAATCCCATACGTTCTATTTTGACACATAGTTACCGCCTAGCGTTTTCGCGTCCGTGCGAACGCTCGCTAAAGCGTGACGTAAGTGTAGGGCTTTTTACTAAAAAAATTATTTGAAAATATGCTGTGATTGCTGACATCTTAGGCAACAAAGAAGTGTGTGTTTACGCTTTATTATAATAGTATAGAGTATAGATAATTGGATATTCATATTTTATAATACACTTTGTCCGCAGATTGCTGTTGTCTCTTCCAGTGTGCACGCAGAGATTGCTCGTGCTACTTTTCGGCACATTCCGGGTGATGGCCTCAAATGCCGATAAAGCAGGTGAGTTTTTATTTAGCGAAAAATCTGCGCACACGCATCGTAAACGTACAGAATTATTAGGCAGCAATTCCACTGCCGTGGCATGTCAACTAAGAGCAGAAGCTTCGATTGAAAGCTAAAGTAATACGTATACAAGCGTTTAGTGTAGTTTTCTCATCCCTTATCGTGGCAAGATTGCTTTTGTAAAGAAAAGCAAGAAAAAATATATAAATAGCTTCTTCGGGCTATAAAAAACATGAACTATACAAAATGAACATTAAAAGATTAATTATGACTACTTACTATACCTATATTTAGTGAAATAACGTCTCTGAGTCCGAAGATAATTATTAATAATAAATTCAGTTCAGTTGGTGGTCTTATACCCTTGTTCCACATACCTTTGCCTAGCGACAGGTGTCTCGTATATATCATTTGATTGATATGTTTCATATTAGGTTTTTTATTACATTCCAAAGTCATATTGAGGATGTATGACATTGAGTTTGTCTGTTGTGGTCGATATAATTAGTATTTCTCAGTTAAATTGGAACATTTACTGGTTAGTATTGTAACAAGAACGTAACTTAGGAGTAGACCGGTAGAGGTAGACCTAGAAAGAGATGGATGGATTGCCGGAAAGATGACCAAGAAGGGAGTGATAACTGAGATGATGGATAGAGTTATTTTGAGGATGAAAACCTGTTGCTCCGACCCTACGGGAATAGGATAATGGGGGAGGGGAAGATGATGATAATGATTGGTATTTTTCCTCAATGGTTCAGAACTCATACTGAACCTGTTTTGCAACCTAGGGGCACGATAGTGCCTCCGCCCATCATCCACTTGCCCTTAACCCTTACTGAGGGTCGGCACAGTATGTGCTGCTCTTCCATACATCTCTATCAGCCGTCATATCTGAATACACTCCTTTCTTAAGCATGTCCTCTTTCTCACAATCCATCCATACTTTCTTCGGTCTTCCTCTTCCTTTGTAGCCATAGTGCCCCAGCCTTAATTAACAGCTGTTTTAGTAACTCCGTTAAGGTGAATAGTCGCGATAGATTTCAACGCTGTCGAAGTGATTTTTCGCAATTTTTTCCGCGACCTCGGCACAAATTTAATTTGGCCGCAATCCCGTGAGAGATTAGATTCCAAGAATTAACAAATATATCTATGGAATTTTTTTGTGTTCTTATTTGCGGAGATTCTCTAAGTATTCCCATGAAGAATTACAATTTGGACCAGTCATACTTCATACTAATATTATAAATACGAAAGTTTAGATAGATAGATGGATGTTTGTTAGACTTTGTAGCCTATACGGCTGAAACGAATACGGTGAAATTTGGTGCGGATGTAGAGGCTAGTCTGGAAGAACACATAGGCTACTCACTGTTTTTTTTTTAATTCCACGCAGAGGGAGTTGTGCGCGAAAGCTAGTACACAAATAATTTTATCTAAAACACCTTAAATATTTTTCCACTAACTAAAACTTAATATGTTGTCTATGTTCAGCAAAGTGAGGTTGCGTTGTTAAATATGATGATTTAAGATCGGTTAAAATTGTAACTTAAGCTAACATTACCTTGATGCTAAGATATCTATTGAAGACAATACTTTATTGAGGTATTTAAATACAAACTTATTAAGTAGGACCGCGGTGGCATTTTCACCTTGAAAAAAAAGATGTGATATTAATATTTATCTATTAGGATATCATATACGGCATAAACCGGAAAGTGTTAAGATTGAATGTGGACGGCTACAAAGGTAGAGGAAGACCGAAGAAAGTATGGATGGATTGTGTGAAAGAGGATATGCTTAAGAACGGAGATGATTCAGATATGACGGTTGATAGAGATGTATGGAAGAGCAGCAAATACTGTGCCGACCCTCCATAAGGGATAAGGGCAAGTGAATGATGATAGCATAGACGGCAATATATGACAAAAACTAATATATAAACATGACAGACTTCCTAATTCCTAAAAAATAGTTCCTCGTCATTTAACATGTCCGAATGTGCGATCGTAACGAACACAAAAATAATAATTACTGTTGTTAATTTCGCCAATTACATGCAATCGCGTGGGTGAGCGCACGCATCGCTAGCAATCAACTATATACAGTGTGTTTTTAATTTGTATAACAACCATATACACTAAATAACTGTTAACTATACCAATGTTATAAAGAGGAAAGATTTGTATTTTTGTATTCGATTCACGAAAAAACCACTGGGCCGATTTTAAAATTCTTTCACCGTTAAAAAGGCAATTTATCTGTGAGGAACATAGGCTAAATCTTACTTAATATTATTAAGAGGAAAGATTTTAGTATGTATTAAAAAAAAACTCAAAAATTACTCGGTCGATTTCAAAAATTCTTTTACCATTCAAAAACTACGGTATCGCTGAGTAACAGTTTATGTTTTTTACTATTTTTTTGAATTCTACGCAGATGAAGTCGCGAGCAACAGTAAGGTCTGTCGCACCAAATCGTAAATTATCTGATAAACAATCCAACGTGTAAAATATGTGATGGAAATATCGGTTTTTATTATCTTATTTGACAGTGACGTCATTTTTAAGCTGTTTGAGCCTCTTAGCCAGTAGTGGGCCCGGCCCTAAGTATTTTATAACTGACACTTTGATAACTAAGAAGTTCTTTTAAACATTTTGTTGTATATTGCTGTTCAATTTTTTTTGTAATATAAGGTGGCAAACGAATCCACCGAAATTGAAAGCGACCGCTGCACATAAACATTCGCAATTGCATATGCTTTGCCTACCCTTTATTGACGGAGGAGAAGACGCACATAAAGAAGACATTTACCCTTTCTATGCCTCTCCTCCACCGTCAAATCCACTTTACCTTCCCATCCTTTCCCCTTAAGAAAAGGGTGGAAAATGAAACGGACTAAAATTAGGTTTAATGTTACCTAAATATCAAGATTAAGCGCATTTTTGCCAAGTTTTTTATCAACTCTATTATAAAATTCCATCCAGAGTGAAATATCATTGTTAAAATTTGACCCTGTTATGTTATAGCTATGATTTTTGTTATAACATTATGGGTGGTCTTGTATTCGGTAGAATTGACAATGCGTTGTAGACAATCGACGTCGGCCGCGTAAGGTGATCGGTCGGAAACAGTCGGACAAAACAATTGAACTGCGACATCCTCCCGATCATATTTGGCGGGAACAATAACATTAGACATTAGGTCTATGGTTGACACAAACATTGATATACAAAACTATCGACTACTTTGGAAGGATAGACAGTTTTTTAGATTGTAATAATACTAGCTTTCTGCGGCTCCGCTCGCGTTTAATTAAAAAATAACAAAAGTGTGTAGCCTGTGTTCTTCCCGACTATCCTCTACGTCTACGCCAAATTTTATTGCGATCCGTTCAGCATTTTAGGCTACAAACTCTAACATTTCATAAATGTAGAGGATAGTTTGGAAGAACACATAGGCTACTCACTTTTGTTTTTTAATTCCATCCGGACGGAGTCTCGGGCGACAGCTAGTATCTTGTAATGTCCTCGAATGATACAAATAACTGTATTCCAAAAACAATTATCGTCGTGCACCATCGATACCGGACTTTACTCAAAATGGTTGCGACCTTTACCAGCCAGTTTGAAGCAGGCGCATCGACTATACTATATAAATTTTATATTGACTTGCGTTTCTGCTTTTTATTTTCATCATACTACTAGTTTTCGCCCGTGATCTCGTCCACGTGGAATTGTTAAATAAAAATACAAGTCTATGTGTTCTTCTATGCCGAATTTAAACGAGATGCGTACTGTTTAACCTACAAACTCTAACAAACATCCATTTTAATTTTAGCATTTATAATATTAGTAAGATAAGCATCACGCCTACTTACGATGGGTACAAGGTGATGGAATTTTTGTAGTCATTGTAAAAAAAAAAAGATTTTATAAATTTATTTGTTCTATTGAATTTAACTAAAAATATCTTACGTTGTTATAACGAGATGAATGACGTATTTACGTAACAAAGTACGCGAGCCATTCATAATACTATAAAGGTTTCTGTGACACCGACCTTCGCCTTGAAGTATGTAATTTTTTTTTTATAATATAAGGTGGCAAACGAGCAAGCGGCCATCCGAATCCACTGAAATAGAAAGCGACCGCTGCCCATAAACATCCGCAATTGCAGATGCGTTACCTACCCTTAATTGACGGAGGAGGAGACGCACATAAAGAGGATATTTCCCCTTCCTATGCATCTCCTCCACTGTCAAATCAGCTTCCCCTTCCCATCCTCTCTTTTAAGACGTTCGCTTCAGTCGCAAATACATTTTATAAGAAAATCATAGTGGCATTGAATGTGTTAATATTTAATATATATTTTAAGGTCTTTATGTCTGTTATAAAAGGAGTTGATATTTGTCACCAGGAACCGGTATGACGTCCGAGGCGTTGGGCGTGTCTGTTGCGCCGTCGTTCTTTCATTCCTGCGTGTCGGACGGAAAGACTGCCACTATGGAGGATGTGCAACGGTTCAAGGTCGGTTTCATTCAGTCATTCATTTAACGTATAGTGCGATTAACTTATCTGGCCCGGTAATGCGATATCGTGAAGTTCATTCGGAGAATCTGTAAAATAATAGGCATAAAAAGATACGTAAAACTAAATCTAAATAAGTATTCGTATCACTTTTTTTTATTTAGGTGGGCTAGCCTTTTCCTACCGGGTCGATTAAATTTGTCATACTACCAGTGACCAATTCAAATCATTCATTAATCTAACGTTACAAAATGTGTCATTCATTCATCGGTTACCCAACGATGTCACGTGAGACCAATCAAATGCCCGTGACGGTTTGCTCGACGAAGCGAGACTTCATTTAATGCCCGGGTTCGTAAACAGACAACGTTTACGTAAATGTAAATGTATATGTACATAGATATAGAGACATTTGCATTGTATGTGGTTAAATTAAAACAATTTTCAGTTTATTTTCTATACTAATATTATAAAGAGGAAAACTTTGTATTTTTGTATGTATTGAAACAACTCAAAAACCACTGGGCCGATTTTAAAAATTCTTTCACCATTAGAAAGGTCACTTTTCTGTGAGTAACATAGGCTATATTTTATTATTACTAATGTTCAGGAACTATTAATAAACAGCTTGTTAATAATATTATTATAAAGAAGATAGAATTGTATTTTAGTATGTATTGAAATAACTTAAGAACTACCGAGTCCATTTCAAAAATTCTTTCACCGTTATAAAGATACGTTATCGCTGAGTAACGTAGGCTATATTTTAATTGTATGTGGACGAAGTTGCAAGCAACAGCTAGTTAATAATAAAATCGTTCATCAATACTAAGTTCAATGTAAAATGGTGTACAAAACAACACAGTGAACACTAACTTCATTATTATGAGACTTAATTCATTTATATAAAAATATTCTAATTATTATAGTACTAAACTAGCTGTTGCTACCGACTTCGCCTTCGAGAAATTAAAAAGTAACATATGTTACTCACTGATGATGATGAAAGTATGTTTGAAATCGGCTCAGTAATTTTTGAGTTATTTCAATACGTTACAAATATACAAATCTTATCATACATCATACAAAATATTATAAATGCGAAAGTTTAGATGGATGGATGGATGAATGGATGGATGGATGGATGGATGTTTGTTAGCGTTTGTAGCCTAAACGGTTGAACGGATCTCCATGAAATTGTGCACAGGTTTAGAGCATAGTCGGGAAGAACATATAGGCTACTTTTTATCCCGGGAATAGTTACGGTTCCCGTGGGATTCCTTAATTTAGTTTTTTGATGTTTACTCGATCATTCTGCAACGGTTTCACATATCTTATTGAAATTTGGCACAGATATAAAACAAAGTCTGGAGTACACATGGGATAAGCTTCATCCTCGAGATATGTCCGGTTCCCGAGGGATACGTAGTTTTTTGTAATTTATATAGATCGTATGTTTTCTACCACGAGGACAACGTTGCGGGCAACAGCTCGTTTTTTATATTAGTATAGATTGTATTTTTTAAACAACATGAAGTAATGAATATATTGATTGCACAAAAGGAAATTATGCCTTATCAAGTAAATTGTAAGTTGCGTTATGCATTAGCAATAAAAACTGTAATCAGTCAGTAATACCGCCTTTATCTGATAGCGAACGTATTGCATTTAGTAAACAATACCTTCCTTGCATTAACAACTTGATATTAAGATAATATTAATGTTCTATGATAATACTTAGAAAAAAACATATATTCCGCTCCAATTTAAAACTGAAATATTCTCCATATACATTTTGTTTTCTTTAGTTATAACAACTAAAAGTTACCTATTTACTAATGTTATAAAGAGGAAAGATTTGTAGTTTTGCGTGTATTGAAATAATTCAAAACTACTGGGCCGATTTAAAAAAATCTTTCAAAAATGAATAGCTACGTTATCACTAAGAAATATAGAATTGTTAAAATTTTTATTTCCACGCGAAAGAAGACGCGGGAAACATTTAGTATTTAATAATCAAATCACTTTATCTTACCATTTTTTCAAAAGACCTGAAGTAATTTTTATATCATAATGGACGTCATCTATAGGACGTTTCTCTGTTTACTCAATTTAGTTGCTACAGTGCAAACCCACCTTTAGAATCTTACTAATATTGTAAATGTGAAAGTTTACATGGATGGATGGATGTTTGTTAGAGTTTGTAGCCTAAACCGCCGAACGGATCTCGATGATATTTGGCATAGTTGTAGTGTAGTCTGTAAGAACACATAGGCTACTTGCTTTTGTTTTAATCACACGCGGATGGAGTCGCAGGCGAAAGCTAGTGGGAAATATTTATACGACCTACTGCGAAAACTCATAAGAAATGCGTTGTTTTGTATTTACGGGAATCTAGTAATTAAAATATAATCCAGGTCAAGGCGGGGAAGACGGAAATCACGAAGGTCGAGTTTTTGTCACATTGAAAAGATTTGTCGATTGAAAAAAATAGATTTGTTAAAACTGATTGGTTTTTGTTTCTGAGTTTATAGTGATTTCCTTGATGTCAATAAGAAATAGCAGTTAATAACCTCTTTGTGTATTTTTGACCGACTTCCCAAAAGAAGGAGGTACTCAAGTCAACGTTTTTTTTTTACTTTTTGTCAATCTGATTTTTTAGTTAATGCAATCCCTTTGTAACCGTTAGCTAACGGAATTTATAATACACTAGCTGTTCCCTTGCGACTTCATCCGCATAAAATTATGAAAAACTTCTTATATTGTTTACATGTGTCAAATTACAATTGCAAATGTCAAAATGACAAACCATGGCAACCTCGCTTCCTTGATGTTGGCAGCAACTTATGGTCTCTTTCCCACATTAGTGTTTTTATCCAAAATATTTACCCTCTAAATTGAATGGCGTGAAAATATATAGCCTAAAGCGTGACGTAATTGCTGTAATTGCTGACATCTTAGGCAACAAAGAAGTGTGTTTACGCTTTATTATAATAGTATAGATAAAATGTTAAGGGATAAATATTCTAAAATCAGTCAATCAATATCTATTTCCTGGTTTGTTACAATCCGGTGAAATTCAGTCTCATGTATTGTAAACATTTTAGTATATAAATGTAAATTATAAATGTAAATAGCTTAAATTGTTCATATTGTCTTAAACATGCGGCTGAAGGCTGAAGTTAACGTAAGTATTGTGTTATGAAACGTTTTAGTATATGTAATATTAAATTATTGCTCTTGTTTAGCTTTATGTTGTATGTCAGATATCTTGGCGGCTCTGAACATAGTATGATTGGAAGTGCAGAATACATATTTGTAGGGCACTGTACATTGCGCCGATGTTTGAGCCGCCATGATCTTTGAAATGTTTTATACTTTTTTTTATTACACCTAATGATAGAGTATATACAGGATGTTCTTTGTTTCCTCTTTAATGAGTAAAATAAAAAAAAAAATAGATTTCATGTGTTTAATCCCACAATGATTTGTACGTTTTAAAGTGAAGTTTGTAACGAATTGAAGTAAAAAGCAAAGTACATGTAAGCTAAAGTAAGTAGTATGTTCTCTGCTTTGTTTGTTAGATAACGCATGGAATGCTTAGATCAAGATTGCATCATGTTACACTTTCTGTTAGTATTACACATGATAACTTTGACTCACAAATGTTTAATTAGTCATTGCCTTTACATCTAAATAACTATGTATAAAGTCATGAATTATTAATATATAGGAAGTAAATAAGGACATTGATTTTATAAAAATGTCTGCAAGGGTCACGTTGCAAAGATTTAGCTTGTATTTTCATTAGTGCTATTTCCACTGAACCGATGGCCGCGCGAGCTGCGTGGCTTCCCAAGTGGAAATAAAAGACTTCATGCACGGCTATTAGCTATGTGGTAATATCTCGTTTTTTGTTGTTCTACTAAGGAAAACTTATTTTTTTGTATGATCTACACTTAAATAGATTGCGATAAAATGTAAGAGTATATCAGCATTTATATATGTAATTTAAAATGCTTTAAAGGCCCAACGTTAGTAACTTTTCCTTCCCATTTTTTTATAAGAAAAGGATGGGAAGGGAACGTGGATTTGACGGTGGAGGCGCATAGGGAGGAGAAACACCCTATTTATATTCTCCTTCTCCGCTTAAGGGTGGGCAACGCATTCGCTATTGCGAATGTCTATGGGCAGCGGTCGCTTTGCCAGTTTGGCGGATTCAGGTGGCCGCTTGCTTTGCAACCTAATGATATAAAAAATGTGTTTATTGTCTTATAGGTGGCAACTCGCATCATGAGGCAGCTGATCGAGCAGTTCAGCGCTGGCGACCTTTTTGGTCGGGAAAACTATGAGTTTTACGCTCGTGTCACTGGTCGTATACTGCGCGTTAAAGATGAATGGATCTGCTCGTTCAGGGATCCCCCGCCGCCGAGACATCACCGGGATCAAGAGGCGTATGCACGTGAGTCGATCATTCATTCACTTATAACATAGGTTGCGAACCTTTGGATCAAAGTGCCTTTTTTGAAATGTTTAATGCGGTCTTATACGTGCCGTTAAATAATTTTGAGTGATTACGTCAATTACATGGTGGTAATGACATAGTGTTCGCTTTTGTCCTACTTCATACTTTTTCGTAGTGTTTTAATGATCATCGTCGTTCCCAAAATATTGTGTCGTGTGCCATTTATGGTAGCCAGTGGTTCGCTATCTCTGCCCTATGACGTTAGTAAGGCTTAAGAAACTTGTTAGTGAGAGCTTTGTGTATAAACTATGTTTTTATTCTCATTTTCAGGGCAATTGTCTCTGGAAGCGGAAAAAACATGGCTGCAATGTGAATGCGATCGTTGGGGCAACAAGTTCAATCTCGAAGGTATGGTCATTCACTTATTACCAGGGATGTTAAACCTTTTTGATAAATGTGTAGTTAAAATTATTGAAATCAAAATATTAAGAGTCAGTTCTACCAGATAACAATCCAACGTGTAAAATATATGATGGAAATATTGGATTTTGTTATCTCATCTAATAGTGACGTCATAATTAAGCTATCTGAGCATCTATCAGCCAGTGGTGGGACAGGCCCTAAAGCATATAAAAATACTAAACCATCATCTTAAATTACGAAAGAATTAATGGATATTTACTAATACATTGATAAAATGTTTATGATCCCTGAGTTTTGGAATAATAGTAGTAATAGTAAATAATGCGTACGTTTTCCGCAGGTCGTCCCAACAACTCCCGTTTATAATATTAAATAGTCAAGTAAATGTAAAAAAAAAATACTGTAAAATTAAATAAATCGGTGAGTTCCGGTTTTAATTTTTCAAATCATTAACACAATCATCGCGGTTAACCTGTAACGTCATGTTATATCCTGACCGGGGTTTTGGGTTTTCGGTAGCACGTAGCGTTGTAATTTGAACACTATTTGTACTAATATTAGAATACATTTTGTAACGGACCATCCGGTTAGGGGTTAATTCTGGTATAAGTCGAGTTTTTATACATAGTAATAGTAGGTAAATAATATAATGTATCCTTTTTAATAGGTATTTCATCAACAATATCTGAGACAAGTCTAAGTCAAAATGTGTAATTAATTGATTGTTCCTAGGGTTGTCAAAATTTCAAACATTTTCCTTTCATGTTGAATCAATTATTTTTAGGGCTGTCAAAACTGAGACTTTCATTTAGTTTAATTTTTTTTGTCAATTATAGACAATTTATTAGATCCGGTGGGGATAAGTCAAACTAATTTATGATATCTCACCAACGCCTTCCAGTTATTGTCACAAAAATTGTGGTATACAAGACTCTTTTTCTTTAATGCCATTTTCTATATCCATGGAGGTTTTAAATATTTTCAGACAATCAACCGATAGCTATCGGCCTAAATATCCTTTTTGGACCAATACTCTACTACTCGTTTCTGAGTACAAGCGTGTTTGTCCAGGGTTGTCGAAGTCGGAGGAGTGCCAGTCGATGCCGACGCTGGCGAGCGCGGGCGCGGCGGGCGCGGCGGGCGGCGCGCTCGGCCTCGGCATCATCCCCGAGCACAGTCTGCTCGACTCCTGCACGCGACTCTCTATATCGCTAGAGGAGAGCGTCTTCAAGGTAAGACTGCAGAGCTCGCTTTATCACACAACCACACAGAAGATAGGTGAAGTGGGAGCAATTCCGCGTTTTCCGTTTTGAAGCTTTGGATCTTTTCACCCTTTTTTGAGAGGAAAAGATGGAAATGAAAAGTGGATTTGATGGTGGAGACGCATAGAAAAGGGGAAATATACTCTTTATATGCGTCTCCATCGATTAAGTGCAGGCAACGTATCTGCAATTCCAGATGTCTGGGCAGCGGTCGCTTCGCCATTTCGGCGGATTCAGGTAGCCGCTGGATCGTTTGACAACTTACATTATAAAAAAAACTTAGATATCCCTCGCGACGTCGTGAACGTGAAATTAAAAAAAAACATACTAATGTTATTCAGCGATAGCGTAGCTTTTTAATGGTGAAAGAATTTTTGAAATCGTAAAACGTGCGAGTTATTCCAAAAAAGGGATAACGGTAGGAAAGCCTAATTAGGCTTGTTAAAGAAAAATAATTACCACTGTAAACACATTACTTTGGACGTACTGTCAAATTTAAGCCGGAAATTTGTTTTTTCTGTGTTTTTTTTACAAAAAAATAAATAAATTAAAAATCACCCTGTATATATCTATGTATTACGTTCCAGGTGTCTGTGAGTTCGTCATCGCAGTCGTCGTGCAGCAACTCCAGCCCGCACATGACGCTGGAGGAGCTGCGAGCTATCAACAAGTACGCGGAGAGCACTAAGAGCCTCTCATATTTGCCTCAGGTATGTTTATGTATGTGATTGTGACGTCATAACTTACAGAAACTTCCATATGACCAACATCTGTTGATATCGTTCCAGAACTTTCCATATTTTAATAGCTATGTTTGTTTGATCTAATATTTTGGTAGGTTTGAGAATATTTCAGGGTTATTTTGACAATTATGTTTAATGAATTATGATTTAGTTTTAGTGTTCAAATAATGCAGTTAAAGAGTTTTGAAATATGGTATTTTGGTAGTGAACACAGTAAAACACAGCGAAGGAAAAAATTAAGCATAAGTAAGAAAGGACTATAACGAAGAAAATGTAGAACTCGAGCCTTTGGGCATATATTTTATGGGTCGTAGATCAAAGATTATAAAAAATAGCTAATAATTTTAATAGTTAATTAAATATTAAGCTCTTTAATGATTTGCGTATTTTCCAACTCAATAGTGATTTCTCCATATTTGTGTTTAAATAATAACAATTTAGTATAAATTGTATTTTTAAATTCTAGCGCACACTAAAGGATCTGTTGTTTGAGTAATGGTGACGTGATTTACCTCAGTAGCCCACCTCGTAGTGTCCGTTTCCACTAAGAAAACATGTCTTCTATTATAACTTAACCACTAGCAAATACAATGTCATAGATATATAATGTATAGATGTTCATACAATTACATCTAATAAAGATTTAAGTTGTGTAAATTATTGTAAATGGCAACACTGAGGGAATTTGTACTAACGAAAATGGCTTTTTGTCACTTTTGTGCTTAAATGCAGTATCTGTCGGTTATATATCTATGATTCATAGAATATAATCACGTAGGAATATTTTTAATCTATGTCTATGATGTTCGAAATTTAAACTCGGTCAAATACTGGCCAGTATTTGTTAGTGGTCTGTGTAAAAAATGCATGACGAATCTGTCTCCGTAATAAAGGTATAATCTGTGGTTGCCCTTTATAGTATTGTTTAGATGATTTTTCCTGTAAGTTTCGGTCCATTGCGTATATGAGAAGTATGATTTATTGTAACTGTCGATATTTTGTGAAATGAGCCAGTTTTTATTCTCACTAGGCATATTGTTATCAGCGAATTTTGAAATAAAGGATTTTTTTACTTTTCTATACATTAAATTAGTTTTGTAACGTCATGTACTAATCTAACATATAAATCTATCTAAAATCTAAGTAATACACTAAAACCATGAAAAACAACGATTTGATTCCCAATATTGTTGTTTTCATAGACTTTCGGTAATTATTAAAATTTTAAACGATTCGTTTATTTCAAATTTGTTGTTATGCTTAGTGAGACTATAAATGGATGCGATTCTCAAATAATCGGTATAATATGAAGAAACGCTTTACCTAGATGATGCTATTGCGAGAATGTGTATTATTTTTGTGTGCGGGTAACACTGGCTTTATGCACACGGCACTACACGCGGCCGTATCGAATGGTTCGTGAATTTATTTAGTAGGCAACACTGCTTTAATTGTTCAAATTTAGTTCCAAAAACGATGTATTATGATTATGACTGTGATATTTTGTCAATTTTTTAATTATTAATGATTGTGTTTTTATTATGATTAACGAAGTATTAGCGTATATTAAATGTTGTAAAAGGGTACGGTATTTTCATCTTAACCCATCCTTTATTATGTTTGCACTAATTGGAACTAATAAAATTTGACACTTCCGTTTCATTTCATCATAATGTGATAATAACAATATTTAACATAACATGTGACTAAATACAGACAGACACTTTGTATAAATCTCATGTAGTTGTTATGGGGAACAGGCCTAGTACAGTCGCAAATAAATAAAAATTTTCTGACATGTGTAAGTATTGTACATACATAGCTTTAGTAAATACGAGAATGTAAAGACACATATCGACATATCAAATCACAATTTTTATTATTTATTACTCACAGATAAATTACCTTTCTAACGGTGAAAGAATTTTTAAAATTGGCCCAGTAGTTTTGAGTTATTTCAATACATACAAAAATCCAAATCTTCCTCTTTATAATAGTATAGATTTTTCAAAACTTCCAAAACAAATATTGAAGAAAATTTAACAATATCCCATTCATTTAAATGTTGGAAAAGATTTACTAGTTTACATCTCTTATTACGTCAGATTGACAACTGACATGTCGAAATGAACTTAGTGACGAAGTTATTTAGAAGAGATAAAAGGCGATATGCAGACTAAGCGGGTACAGGGCGACAGTACTAGGCTACGCGGGGCAGGCGGTAGCGCGGGGGGTGACGTTGCGGTGGTGCGTAGGTGCACGAGCGGCAGCGGGCGCGGATGCGGACCCGCTCCGAGTGGTTCCTGCAACCCGCCGCGTCGCTGGACGCGGGCCGCGCGCGCGCCGGTACGCCGCACGAGCCCCGCCCCGCGACATGTCTAGCCCCGCCCCACGCCACGCCCCGCGCCACGCCCACTTGCGCGGGGGAGGCGCGCGACGAGAACACCGCCCTCTACCTGCTTGTGGCCTGCCTAGAGTTTTTGTTCTGATCGCCCCGGTACTGTGTCAGTGTTAACTAACATCGCATCTGGCTTTGCTCTCCTACCGCTTACGGTGACAAGGTGTAATAGGGACGGTCTAATGTAAGTAACCAGGGACTCAGTTCTGCTAAGCAATGTCGTAATTCACTATATAAGGCACGGCGATTAACAAAATAAAATCAATGCAGTATTGTACGTGCATGATCGGTGTCAACATGTCATTATCAATGTCAAAATGTCGTGTTCGGTGTCAACATGTCATGATCGTTGTCAAAATGTCATGATCGATGTCAAAAATTGAAATTAACAAACGTCAAACCAACTCGCCAATAGAGCGTTAGTACAAAGGGAGCTTATGCACAGCAAGGTTTAACACCGCAAAACATTTACATCGAGCATTATTTTAAAACATTTTTAAACACAACATCATTGACAGGCAGGCTAGTTTCACAATAAATTTGCAAGAATAATTCTGTTTACAACAAAATCACACTAAATTAAATTATTAAATTAGCATATTTATTTAATTCAAGGAGAGAAAAGTCTTGCTTAACAGCACATGGTACGGGGGGCGGCTTGCATGCTTTGCACATAACACGTTTACTGCTACCAAGTATGGGTACTAGTGCACATTTTCCAATGCCAACAATGTTTGGCGAGTCCAGTAAATGCAGCAAATCTACAGGTGAAAACGTTTGAAATGTGGCAGAGAATGTGTTAAAACGTTTACTGTCAGTCTCGTCTTTTGATGTCACTAATACGTAATTATCGTGGCATTTAACGTGTTTATTGTTTCACCTTTCTGTAACTTTCTTTGTCCCAAATCTTTTTGTTTTTCTTGCATTTTGTTATGTGCCTGTTGTTTATGTGTATTTTGTATTTATGTATGGATGTTATTGTGTCGAAATAGAGAATTTACACGAGAAAGAAAATAAATTTTAAATGTATTAAGTTTTTTACTTGTTATGTATGTCGTTTGACGTCTGAGCAAATTGTAGATTATTCTTCAACTAAGTTAATTTAGTGATTGTCTTAAATTACTTGAATTGTTGTAATTTGTTGTCAATTGCTCAAGAAATGTTATAATAGTCGTCTAAGGATTGCCGTAGACTAGACTTTTAGTCGTCGTTAACATGTATGAGCGAAAATTGCACAGATGTGATTTTGCTTTGACAGAGACTAAACTATCGGTAGTTAAAAAGTAGTCTGCGGGGACCCTAATTGTGTGATTTGTTGGCTCTGTCTATTCAACGTGGATGACAAGGATGACAATATTTCTCAATACAAGTAAATTGATACCTTTGCTGAAATTTATGCTCAAGTTTTTCACCTCTTGAAAGCGAATTTTTATCGCGAATAAAATTGAGCCTTACCCGATTGATGTAAAAATTAAACCTTGTTGTTATTTGAATAAAGCTCAATTTTATTTGCTATAAAATTTGCCTTGTTCTCAGTCCCGGTTTGTTTGAACGGAACTTAATAAGTTTTGCTTGTATGTTTTATGCTCCTTTTTGTGTTGAATATAATCTCATTTTTTTAGCTTGATAGAGATAAGATACACATGTCATATATCATCTTTTAAATATATGTCGGTTTGTTTCAATTCCGCACTGTTCATATGTCTGAGTGTTTAGATAATTGGTTGCTCTTCGCTTGTAGTGTTATAGCATATTTATGTAAATGTTTGTTGTTTTCGTGGATTTTTCAATTACTTTTTTAACTATTGAAATAGCAGACATATCGAAATTAATAAACTGTTTTGATATGGAAGTAATTCAATGGTATTCTATTTGGAGATTTTGAATGATTTTCCAATATTCTAGAATATCGATTTTTTTATTATCGATTTTTATATTGGAAAATATATCACAATCTTCATTGGCGTAACTTTGAAAAAATGGATACGTTTCCTTTCTTACAATTACGTTTTGTATTTATTATATTTGAGTAATGTTTATGTTATATACGTGTGTAGGGTGCGCTGGGTGCGCTGGGTGCGAGCGGCGCGGGTCGCGGCGGCGGTCGCGGCGCGCGCGGCTGTGCGCGGGCGGCGCCGCTTGCCGCGCCCTCGCACACTCCGACACTGAGGTCCCGCTCGCTTTCCAGCCTCGTAAAGTGACCGCATGACGCACACGCACCGGTATCACACAATTCACCACACAACACTCAAACTACACCTTATAGTAGTCCTAAAAATAGTCAAGTTTTGTGGAATTGTTGCCCAATTATGTATACTATACTTTATAGAAGCCCCCAAAAAACTCATCAAATAAACTGTTGAGGAATTTGTTGCCCTATTAGCCCCATACCACTCTAATATTTCATTAGTCCAATCTGGCTTGTGGACATGTTGCGCTTTTGCTGCCCAATTAGCCCCATACCATTTTAATATGGCAATAGCGCAATATGGCTAATCAAGATTACATATTGCGCTATTATTGGCCAATTAGCCCCATTCCACTCAATGCAATATTGTGACCCAAGTAGGCACACATCACTCTTCCATTAACGATGGCTTGGATTAATTAATATTAAGCCTGCCATAGATGAGTAGCTTCAAGAGGTCGGCGTACAGCCGCGAGGGTGGACGCAAATTGTGGTCCGTGTATGGTGAACGTTAGTTGAGAACATCCAATGCTGACTGCTTGATACTGTCAGTACCGACTAGTTGTAGCACTCAGTATGCGACTGCCCTTTTTATAAAACTGTTAAATACAATTATTTTTAGTAATAATGTTGATTTTGAAACTGCTTTGTGTAATCCGTAAATATTTTTTAAAAGCTGGGTACACAAAAATTATAATTTCAGTATAAAATGATTTTTTTTTTGTAAGACACAATCGACTTTTGACACAAAATTAGCAAAAATACTTCATACCAAATCGCTCTCTCTCATTTTTTCCAGGAATATTAGTAATATAAGATATTTTTTATTTATGGTTATGTTTATCGTTCTTCCATTTTTTTAGAATAGACGTTTTCTTTTTATCGAAGTCAAAATCAGACTGTCATAGACTATCTGTATAAAAAAGTTAGTGCCATTACATATACTTTAAAAAAATTATAGTTCGTATCAAATTGTAAAAAATATAAGTATTTGTTCCGTTGAAAAATAACGTTTAAAAAATATAATTTACTTGACCTCTATGATAATAAACAGTTATCGTAACGGTTCTTGTAAACTGGTGATTATATAAAAAAATTAGTGGTTTTGATAAAAACCACTAGAATTAGGAGTGAGAGCTTCATCACACATTCCTGTAAATACATTTATACTAGGTAATTAAAAAATTAAACTTTTAGAATTAATTATTAGGTAACTAGTTTTTTTTTTTTCGTTTTAGCATGGTGTTTTTGACATTAGGTTGATTTATTGTTCGTTTCCTGACAATACTTTGACAAGAATTACGGTAAAAATAAGTTCTATGTTATGTCAAAATAACCATGCTGTTATGAAAAAAAAAAAGATAATTTAATAAGTATTTGAAATCTTCCGACTTTCTGTATATTGTATAGTTTTGCATTTCTCTCTACCTCAATAAGATGAAGTAAGTTTTTGCTCCCGCAGAGCAATTAAAAGCAATATTTGGAATTATTAAGAAAATTTACGAATATTAAAAACTGACCAAGTAAAGACTGAATATATGAATGCATTACGCGTGTACAAGCTGTGAAACTCCACTGTTAAAGGGGGTGGGGGTAGGAAAAAATGGAGGGGCTTTGATCCCATTTCTTCCTATGGTGACCTTTGTAGATAAACCAAAAAACTTTAATGTTTCACTTACCCATATACTGGATTAGAGTTTTTTTATTCACGTAAAATTTGATCATTATGCCGTCACTGGTCCGTAACAAAAAAAATGGGGAACAAAGAGACGCATTTAAAAGTTTTTGTTACTGTACAAGCGTAATGTTATTCATAAATAAAATTACAATAATCCGTATTATTTTGTATTATTAGTACCAATAGAGAATTATTTTAATGAAAAAATGTGAAAAAATTTAGGTTTTTTTACATTTTTTTAAAAAATAAATAATCGGTGCCTATCAAATGTTACCGTTTGAAATTAACTGATTGGTTTGCAAAGAAGTCTATTATATATAGTACAAAATAAACGGAATCGAATTTAATATTTCATGTTTTTCTAAATACAAGATTTTTCTGGTATTTTTTTACCGATACGATTACTAGGTGCTAGGTATTTGTGAAATCTCTTATGAATATTGTAATTATCTCTTAATATAGACTCGGTATACAGTTTTATGACTGTAAAATGTCTGGTTAGAACAATTTGATAGTATTTTAATGTAAATTCTGTTTTAAGGTTATGTTTTTTCATTGTTATGCACATTCGTTCGCACATTTATTGTATTTATTTCATTTGTAAGCATTTTAAGTTTATTATAGCAGGTATTTGATTGAAGGAACTTTTAACAAAGGCCCGCAAATATTTTTTTTAGTTATAATTTTTTTTCATTTAAAATAGAGTCAAAATCCGCATTAGATATAAAATAAATTATTTCTTAATCAGTCAATAAATTAGTTAAATGCTTTGTCAATTTAGGCCGGAGTTTCTAAAAAAAGGTTCCTGCTATTTTTTATTCTAGATTTTAAAGCTTTCCATGTTTATAAGGTCTGCCGTTTTAGTTTATTTTTAGCAAAAGGCAGCTCAATATATTTTTGTTATAAAGTATTCGTGGATCTTGTGGGTTGTAGTTAGCCATATTTAAGTTTAGCATTTTCTTGTAAATAAGGGACCTAGACATCGGGTCGTAACACCCTAGGTAATCCTAAATTTTTTAGTCTTACAGTATTTTTTAATTGTCAAATAATGAACCCGTTTTGACAAATATTTTTTTTTAAATCGTATGATTTCGATAAACGTGTTTTGTACTGTCATGATCTCATGACAACTTTTGTAGGTGGAAATTTTTTTTATAGTTTTTTGTTTTTTTTTTTTAAATGACTCATCTAAAGGTATAATTTCTCTTCATAAACAAACAGGTTTAATGTATTTTTTATTTTGTAAAAGCGGGTCTTTATTATGACAATTAGGGAAGGATTTTTGGATGTAGGCATCCAAATTCTTGTGTTCATTGACTTAGGTATAATTAGGCAGTAAATGTACACTTGAGTTGGCACATCCGGCACAAGGTTTTGCTTGTTTCAGACGTGCCAAGTCAAACGTCCTGGTACTATGTAGTTTTATTTGCCCTCACAGTATCTGTTAACGTTGGTTTACACTGACGTTTATAATAAAGTTTTTTAAACAAGATTATGTTCTTGTAAATCTTTTATGTTATGATAAACATACATTTGTAAATTATTTCTATGGAGGTTAGAATGTATGGTTTATTAAAAAAAACCATATTGTTTTTTTTATATCAACAGTTAGTTTTTTTTTTCGTTTGTCAGTTTTAGTCTTGTTAAAATTAAATTTGTACATTCTAACCTATAAAATTAATAGTTTTTAGAAACAATGCAAAAATATTGTATTAATCTTTGCACGTTTTTATAATTTTATACTTAGTAATTCACGAAAAACTATTAATAAAATTTACTATTTACTAATGAAATTGTAAAAATGTTAGGCCTTGTATAGAATATGATTTGTAAGACTGTTTCATATATTTTGTATGTTTTTTTTGTATTTTGCTATCACTCGAATATTAGTTCGTTATCATTCCACCGAAACGAGTAAACACAAGTTGCTTGAGTATTATTTTGTGAAATACAATAGGTTTTTTTTTTTGGTTCTGTAAGAAAATTTAAGAGCTTTAACGTATTTGTAGAAAAAATTGTATTAAAAAATGACCGGCAACATAACGAAAAAAGAATATAATTTTTCCCTTTTTTTTTCATGAGTAAAGCAAAATTATAGTTTGTTTCAATCGTACTATTGGTTTCTTTTGTTGATTTTTTTTTTAAAAAGCGGGAACATTAAGTTAGAAGTTTAAAACGAGGAAACAAATTTGCTTAACATACTAGCTTTTTACCGCGACTTCGAGCGTATTAATAATTCTAGTAAATAGCATGTGTTCTTCCAAACTGTTTTATAACTGCCAATTTTCATTAAAATTCGTTAAGTTGTTTTGGATATCTTCTAAGATACATACATCCGTCTATACTTTCGCATTTATATAGTAATAGCTTTTGCCCGCGACACCGACCGCGTGGAATTAAAAATAAAAATCAAAGTGAGTAGCCTATGTGTTCTTCCAGACTGTCCTCTACATCTATACAAAATTGCATCGAAATCCGTTCAGCCGTTTAGGATACAAACTCTAACAAACATATAAACTTTCGCATTTATAATATTAGTATGATTATTTGCCGGTCATTTCACTTTACTAAGGTCATTTTAGTATTGTATTTTATTACAATCTGGATTTTTTTTATTCGGTTTTTGCGCCGAAACAATAACGTTATTATTGAAATTCCTTTAGAGTATTATATCGAAGTATTTCGCTTGTAAATTCAGTTTTGTCAAACATTGTATTTGCACATTTTTATAAATTGTAAACACGAGAATAAATAAAATTATAAATTATATTGGGTTTTATTTAACTTTGATGCGTTCCTTTATATAGGAAAAGATTCAATTGTTAGAAACACTATTTTCTCGAAGCTTTTCAGGTCACGTGACACCCCTGTAACTTCGCTGTCGATAAAGATAACAAGATATCAAGAGATATACCAGAATTTATTATGTTGCCATATCTTTTAAATATACCTAATAGTATACAAATTATAGCTTTTTTTTACACAAAAGCGTGTTTTAGAATTCAGTCAGTGTTTTAGATATTGGAGAAAATGATAAATCTTGACAATGACTAGGTTTTACATGACATCTAACTTTTTGTAGAGGGACCGAGATTCAGTAGTTATAATTTTTGTGTGATTCCCGATTTCCTAAAAGTAAAAA